CCCCAAAACCCCAAAACCCCAAAACCCCTTTTTTTGGGAAAAATATTGAAATTTTCGGAAAAATGAACAATTGCCTTTATTTCCCATTCAACCCTTAAATCTAATCTTTCATGTCTCTCAAATCTCTAAAATTTGTCACAATTTCAGCACTCACACTCACAAACCATTCTAATTGACCACAAAGGTGGTTGACTCCAACAACTTCTTGAGAGCTATTGCTGGATTCCCTCTTTTGACTGCTGATCTTGGCTTATCTTTCCACTTAAGCACCTTTGAATTCCCTTTCTGTAGGCTAATTCTCTTCTTCCAGTTTCCAAGTTGAGACTTCCTCAGCTTCAGGCAAGCCTTCTTCTGTCTAGAAAATCCGGATGAGGGAACAGCTAAGTCCCAAGGGAGATTTGAGGATCGGACAGTCAACAAACTGAGATTAAGGATTAAAGAGGCAAAGAAATTAGTTGAGAATTTCATTTTTATGAGTTTCGATAGTTCAAAAGGGTACTTACGGCGTACAAGTCCTCTTCTCCATTGTCCTACTTATCTGGCTGCCTTTGCAGTTCAGAGTGGCAAACCGAGTCTTGGGTTCTTCAAATTTCGGACTTTTAGTATATTTAGGCATGAGTAACTTAGTCTTTTTAATTTTTCAAGCAGATGTCTTTGGGATTTCAAACTTGGAATCTATTGAGAGTTTTGAGTTGGAAATAAAAGCAACCTTATTCATTCTTTTGACACTAGACTTTTTGGCACTCACAAAGAACTTATTTTGCGTCTTGGAGCTTATTAGTACTCCATCTTTGGAATTAGACTTAGAGAAACTACCTATAAATTATGAATCTCCTATACCGCGACTGTGGGATAAATTAGAAAAGGATGCATCTTTTTTAAACCATAAAAGATACTTCTCATATTTTGCTATTGCCAAGCTTAGGATTCTCTTAATTTTCTGATGAGTAGGATCTCTGGTATTTCTCTTCTTAATTAATCATAGACAATTCTTGAATGGCCCTAAGCATTTCTTAAATAATTTCAAGTGTTCGTATTCACTGCCGAGGTTGAAATAAGCAAGAATCAGAAGATCTGTGACTTCGTCTCTTAATTTGCTCTTCAGGGTAATGAGAGGGTCAGCTGATTTCACAGAACCCTCTTCATCATGTAAATTTTTGAGGTCAATCTTACAGGCTTCTATAGCTAGCTTGGCTAGTTTAGAAGCTTGCTCATGATCACTTTGGAAATTATAGATGGCCGTTAAATTTATGCAAGTTTTGATATATGGCTTTCCTATAACAACAGCTTTCTTTGCTTCCTCAGATTCTGAAAAATAAGGCATTCATTGAGAAATAGGGTATGCTTTCATGATAGAAAATGCTTGCAGTAAACAATCAATGGACTTATTTTGGCTGATCACTCCTTTTGTAAAGAATACTTGAGTTGTTTATGGTTAATATCACGAGATCTTTAGAGTCATCTCCGAACTTATTTTAAGAAAATCATAATTTGTTTCAAAATTTCTTTTGCCTTATCATGACCGCCAATAGAATCGATCTTCATCATATACTCATTTAAAAACAAAATGAACTTTCTGAAGAATTCATTATCCTTATAATTCCTCTCAAACTTCTTTCCTCAAAACTTAAAACCCATCATATTCCACAAAATCGCGAGCTCTATCAAAATCCTTAATCCAAAACTCATCTACCCTAACATCAACTCCAAAAACATAGTCCAAACTCTCATACATCTCCTTAACTTTCTCAAAATCGTCAATTCCCTTAATTTTCTCAATTCTCTTCTCTAAAATATCTTTTAATCTTCTATAGCCTGCTGCTCCTCTTCTTCTTCACCTAAAACCTCTCATTAACCCTCTCAGACACTCAGTGACACGAATGTACTTACTTTAGTAAAGCCTTCTTCATTCCTAATTCAATTTATTACATTCCAAAAGGGGTTTTGGGGTTTTGGGGTTTTGGGGTTTTGGGG